AGCCCCTAATCCAGTAGTGTAGTGTTGCTACCTATTAAGGAATTGCAGCATGACAGTGGAAGGATTCCGGTAATTCCAGTAGTTCAACTCGGAGGGACGAAATAATACTGCAGTGAGGATGGGTGAGGGTTCAAACCTCACCAGCAGCGAAAAAAATCTAAGGATTGTGCCATAGCACTCCCTTGGTCTAGTTGGGTCTGTATACCCACTAGCCCCTACAACAGCCTCCTTAGGCTCCCCCTCCCCCTAGATTAGGATAGAGTAGGTTATACAAATGTATCGTTGCTGACAAAAAAAAAAAAGAGGATGGGTGATATTGCAGAATTTAAGGAATAGCCTTGAAAAGTTAATAAATATTTAGGTTTTTGTGTTGTCACAATTGTTCTCCCTTCCCTTCCATTTCTCGAAAATACCCTTCTCCCTTGCAATTGTCCCCTTATATTTTGAAAAAATTCCCAACACCTCTTGCATTGGCCCCCCTAAAAAGCCAATATGTTACAATGGTTTCAAAGCTAATTAAACGCAAACTTGAGCACTATTTGAATAAAGAACAAATTTAAAAAATTCAAACAATAACTCAATCTAAATTCATAATTTTGAATTGAATACCTCTATGAATTTTTCAAACTTGGACTGATTTTGACCGTTAATTTGAAATCCACTTGAAATTTCATTTGAATTGCAAATCAACGGTTGATATCAATCCAAACTCGATTAGGCCGATCTCAGCTGTTAAATGCTGTAAAAGTTGCAGAAAATCCGAGTCTGGAACCAATGAAACCATTCACAACTATTAGGTAAGGAGGTAGGTAATAGTTACCATCCAATTAAAGGTTTTAACTGGGGAAGGTTCTTTCTGAGCCAATACCGAGGAGTTCTCAACTATTATTAAATGTTGACATCAAGATAACAAAACCAATATATAATAATACATTAAAATAATGAAATCCATGCTGTTGCATACTGAAAATAAATTATTAAGTCCAAGTCTTTCGAGTTTGTTTGGATAGTGGGTTATTTTCCCAAATATAATTCTTTACATCACCATTACAATTTTCAATACAGTTTTTATCTTCTCATTCACTTTTTTATCTCGCATACACAACATCACAAAAAGTGCTATAATAAAAATATCTCAAATAATTTACAATCCAAACACCAATTCGCGTTTGTCAGATTCAAAGGTGGTGGGTAAATGCATACCTGAATTCACATGGCTGAGACCGCTTTTACGTACTAAAAATTTTTCTGAATGACTGGTCAGACATTAAAATAGTTTTAAGCATAATTCATATAACCTTTTACGGGGTAAATTTGCGAATAAATGCACTTTGAATCACCATTCAGACTTTAAATTGAAACCAGTATGATTTCGTCTAATTGGTACATTGACTTAATTGGCAAGGATATACATGTAAGCAACCCGTGATAACGGAGTACATCGTGGTCCGTGACTGTAAATTGAAACTTGAATCATATAAATTTTTGTTTTCTGCATGCTAACCATAAATATTTAGGCCGAATTTTCTTTAAAATCCACCTTAAATCTTGAAATTCAATCCAAAAGCTGTAGCTAAAACATTAGAGTTTCTTTGTTTTGGGTTGAAACAGAAAATATGCAGTAGGTAGCGTTGACTAATTGTATAAAAAGCCAACAATTTGAGTGAAGGAAGTGCAAAAGTAATTTAGAGAGATTGTTCTATATAGAAACTTTAGGACATAAACGGATTCTGCTTCTGCTGCTGGTGCTGCTTCTTCAAGTCTGGATCGCCTTGAAGAATCGGTCAGACTTCCTAATAAAAGTCTCTGATGATTGGGAGCTTTTGAGAAAACTTTGCGAATCCGCTCACAAGCAATGTTTTAAAACCCGGACCGTCAATTGAACCGGTGAGGTGAAAGGGTCGAGGTTCAACCGGTCGGACCGGTTCAACCTCGGTTCAATGAATTTTTTTAAAAATAATTTATATAAATATATATATGCACAAAATAAGACATGCAATGGACTAATTTAAAACTTTATATGATGAAAAGTTCACTATTTTTGAATAATTTGGATTTTCAAAAATAAATTATTTAAATTATAAGTTAAAACAAATAAATTTCATCTCAATTTCAATTATATCTACCAAAAAAATCTTAAATCCAACCCAAAAATATCACAATATTTTGAAATTATACAAATTCACGTCTATGAGAATTTGATATTGTGAACTTAAATTTTAATTTACGTCTTTGAGATTTAAAGATTGTAATTTAAAAAAGAAAGTTTGGAGTTCGAAAGAAGTTAAGAGAATTGAAAATAGAAATGCAAACTTGATATGAAACAAAAAATGAGATAAAAGTGAGTGGTTGTGGCATTAAATAATTTGGGTTAAAGAAAAATAATTCTTTTTTAACTTTTTCCAATTTAATGGGCAAAAACAAAATTAAAAGATAGAAGAAAACATCAATAAATTAAAACTAATGAGGTTTGATTAAAAATGGAATGACAAAAGAAAAGATGAGGGAGAAAAGAAAGAGTTGAAGATTAAAAAGAAAGAGTCATCAGAGGATGAGATTTTGTAAGAAAAATGGAAAAATGAAATATAGATGTTTGTTTTATATAAATAAGTTATCAAAAAAAGCAAATAAGATGTGATGGTGCAATGGTTACTACATTGGTCTTCTATTACAAAGGTTTTGAGTTCAAATCTTGATAGAAGCATTTTGCAAAAAGTTTAAAAAAAAAAAAAAAAGGAAAACTCAAAAACCGGTTCGATCCGGTTCAACATGGTTCACCGGTTTTCCCGGTTTTTACCGGGTTTGACCGGTTCTCTGGCAAAGTCAACCAGAGCATAGAACCGGACCGGTGCCATGGCCGGTTCGCGGTTCAACCGGTCGAACCGGCCGGTCCGGTCCGGTTTTCAAAACATTGCTCACAAGGGGAGTGATCATGCTGCTGCACACGAGAAGCAAATATGCAGTCCTGCCTCAAGAATATTGAAGCTACAGCTGAGGAGATTTCCCGGGAACTTATTCGTTTCTGTGAAGGAAGGATGAAGATGTTGGATGGTTGCCGGGTACAAGATCAAGAATTCCTGAACGAATTAGCCCATGATTGTGAAACAAAAACCAAGCGCTTGATTGCTGACGTTGAAGAAGCTCTTGAGTATTTGTACCTGATGTGGTCAAGATGCGGAGGCAACAGCTCATCCCAATTCCACCCGCTTCCACCTCTTGATGTTTCCTTTTGCCCAGATTTACTAGAACATGTTCGATCAATTGTGTTGGCAATCAGGACTATGGCAGCTGATCACTTGGGTTATAAAGATCCTAGTGTAGAGATCCATGTCGACTCCTTGTATGCTACGGTATGGTCCATCCAAAAGTACCTTGTTGCATTATTTGACGGTCGAAAATTCTTTAGAGCAGCAGCAGCAACAGGTGAGGTACTACAACATATCATCATCATCATCCTCCTTGTGTACGGCCTAGTTGTGATGCTTGGGCTAGCCATGTTTTGTCTGTGGCCCCATGGATTGCAAACCGGTGTAGTGAATAGGAGTTGGAATGCAACACAGGCCGAACCCAAGTGACAAGAAGTAAGCTGATTGAGTTCCTGGTGAATTTGCACCATGAAAATTCATCCTAGTAATCCCAAATTCACGAGTTTCCATCTAAATTTCCTTGTGGCTCTGTACTGTAGTACTGAGAAGGCTGCTTGGAAATATATTCTCTTGAGTTTTTGCAGCAATCTCTTCAATCGTGAACGTGAACATTTTCAAACGAGGCGTGTTCCCTGGTAATCCTTTTTTTCTGCACAACTGCTATACTAGATGACGAGGACACAGCACAAAGTTTCTTTCCAAAAATTAATGCAGTGCTTGCAGAGACAGCATCTTTGTTTGAGTCAACTGGCATCTCCATTCTAGACAATTCACCTTGGTGTTCTGAGGTACTTACAATGATTTGTCTTCTTAAAGCAGAGCTTTTCCTTGTGGTGCAAATCCATAACATGAAAAACAATGCTAACACTTCTTCACTTTCCTCCAGTGCGCTTCCCAATTTTGAACATACTAGGGATGCGTGTAATCAAATCGGCACATATAATCCAAGAAGTTGACCCAAGAAACGAGAGAAGATAGGAATAAGTTGTTGGCGCTCATTGAATCAGCTTTCAAGGAGAAAAAATCTCTATATAATTCATCTAGGAACGAGATAATCACAGCATCTGCGGTGAAAAACTCACTTCTGATTCTTCATTTTAAGATTTCGATTTCCAAGGAAGAGTCATTTCTAATGGAGCTGTTACTACAAAAGAGCGGGAATGATGAAAGGCTTATGGCTCGTGGGAAACACCAAATCAAACTCCACCTTCAGAAGCTCGAGTTTATTCCACTAAATCTCCCAGATAAGAGAATTATGGACAAAGAGGATGCATTCAAAGCCTTTGTACCAATTGCTGTAATGTTTAGGAGGCTGAAAAATTACGTACTCCATTGAGCATCTACCTCAATTCAATCATTACATACTGCACTTTATATGCTGAATCAGTGACTAGATCAACAAGATCTTCTAGCTCTGGATGCTCTTCAATGTCCAACTCTGAAACATCCTCGAAAAAAGACATCAATGACTTGAGATGTGTTTGAATCTCTTCAATGTGGTGCTTCACCAGTGCTGTTGAGGCAGGATTATATTTCAGTAGCCCAATGTTTCTCCATAGATAATCAAGGAACTTCAGTTTGGAAGTCTTTGGGAAATTAAACTTTGGAAATTTAGGAATAATCTCTGTGAGCTTTGCCTTGGTCTGCTTCACCTTATCTAACAGCTCAGAAAATGAAAGGGTGGTCATTTCATCTTGTGTTTTCTCTGTGTAGTCTCTCATTATTTCCTTGTCACACGATGAAATGACCACATTTTCAATTTCAGAGCTGTTAGATAAGGTGAAGCAACCAAGGCAAAGCTCACAGAGATCATTCCTAAATTTTCATAGTTTAATTCCCAAAGACTTCAAAACTGAAGTTCCCTGATTTTCTATGGAGAAACCTTGGGGAGCTGCTGAATATAATCCTGCCTCGACTGCACTGGTGAAGCACCACATTGAAGAGATTCAAATACATCTCAAGTCATTGAGGTCTTTTTTCGAGAATGTTTCAGAGTTGGACATTGAGGAGCATCCAGAGCTAGAAGATCTTGTTGATCAAGTCACTGATTCAGCATATAAAGTGGAGAACGTAGTTGATTCATTTGAGGTTGATGGTCAATGGCAGGATTTCTTCTGGTTGGACAATGTGCTGGAGGAGTTCAGACTTCTTAGCATGAAAGCCAGGGGAATTCGTTTGACAACCCCTGATGCGGAAGTCCAAGCTTCCAAGAAAGTCACCCAATATATATTTGAGAGGTTATCAAGAAACAGTACACCAGCGATCCAGGAAATTGTGGTGGATCTCAGCAACAGAGAAAAAGAAACTAAGAAGAAGAGCTTTGAAGATGCAGCCAAGGATTTCTTGATGGATTTGATTGACAGAAGCTTGGTGATAATCTCCAGAAGAAGATCCAACAGCAGGGTTAGAGCTTGTCCCCTCCATGATCTTGTCCTTGATTTCTGTAAGTCTAAAACCCAAGATAGAACTTCTTTCAGCTGATAACCAGGTATGACAAACCATATGCCTCTTTATCTAGTACTGATTATTGTTTCGCGTTTGATTTTTACCATCATGCACCTCCTGCATCATTTGCATCAAATCAGTTGGCTATATTTTTGAAGCGAAACCATTTTGTTGAATCAAGATCTTCTGGCTTCGCCACCTGCTCTTTGGTGTTCTCTGCATCTACAGATTCAAAAACCTGAACGCCCTTATGACGTCTCATTCATTTGGCACAACTTCAAATTACTTAGTGTGTTGGATTTTGAATGCTTCATTTTGGGTCTTTCATTTCCCGTTGAAATTAGACTCCTGATACAATTGAGATATTTAGCAGTTGGAGGCTATCTGAAAACCACTCTACAATCAATAGCCAGCCTCAGGAAACTGGAAACTCTTATTGTGAAGGGATTAATTCGTAAGATCATCTTACCAAATACTATTTGGCGCATCACAAGTTTAAGGTATCTTCATGTAACCCTCCACGTTTCTTTCAACTCAGATGATGAACAGTTTGGTGATTGCTTCGTATTAGAATATTTGGGCAGCTTTTCCAGCCCATCTCTTTCTTGTGGTGAGGATGCAGAGAGGATAATAGAGAAGCTTCCAAATCTTTGCAAACTTAGTTGCATATTCTATGATTCTTCCTCGAATTGCAATCAGTTTCCAAGATTGAACTTTCTAACTCATCTAGAGTCACTCAAGATATTCTGCTATGGGAACCTCTTAACAATGGCGAGTTCAATCTCCCATTGAATCTAAAGAAATTGACTTTATCAAACTCTGTCCTTCCATGGAGTCACATCTCCACAATCGGGAAAATACCAAACCTGGAAGTTCTCAAGTTACTTTCTGGTGCCTTTGAGGGCAAAATATGGGATGTGGAAGAAGAGTTTCAGAAACTCAAGTTCTTGAGCTTATACAAACTGAACATTCCTCAATGGAAAGCCTCTTCTGATGATTTCCCCAAGATTGAAAGACTCATCTTACAAAATTGAAAAGACCTTGAAAAACTTCCGGAGGATTTTGTGAACATATACACATTGGAGATGATTGAAGTGCATTGGTGAGGAGAATCTGCAGAAAAGTCAGCAATTAAGATTGGGGAAGAAAATAGGGAAATCAAAGTCCTTGTTAAGAGTTTACACTTGAGATGATGGGCATGATTTGGATCAAGTTACTTTATCCTTCCTCTGATCATTTGTAAGTCTATTTAATCAAATTTCATCAGCTTATCCATTTCTTCAATTCATTTCTAAGAAGATATACTCAAATATATATTTTGTATCTAAATCTACTAATGGACATATCACACATGACTTGCTCAAAGATGTTAGGGACTTCTAACTGCTGGACAATGAACTGGAAAATTTTGTTAATTCTCGACAAACATTTGCTTTTTTTAGCTTTTACTTCATCTCTAAATTGCTGGTGATTAGTTTCTTGATGATGTTACGTCTCAGTTTGTTAAATTCGCATCGCTCAACTTGGCACTTCATATTTTCCAGTCTTCTATAGGACCTACTAATTTGCATCATCAGAGCAAACTAATCTAAGTTAGAAGCCTCTTCTCCATTAAACCTTGGAATGGTCACATTCTCTTTACTAGATCTGTATCCATCATAACAATCATCATCGTTTAACTGCTGCAATTCACTACTCAAGCAATGCAGAAGCTTGATTGGCTGCATTTTTTTTAGGCAGTAAGCTCCACAATAGACGCTGTTCTGAGTAACAAAGCCTGCAGCTTAAGAACACTTGTTCATTTTGTTTCGAAGAGCCGATTCAAGTAAAAGATGACAATTTCCCCAAAGATTTTAATGGCCATGACACGACATCAGATATGACTACTTTGTATGCAACTCCAGAATTTTTTCTTTCTCAAAGAAATTATACATAAATTTAACTTTTTTGAAACATGAATAACAATTGTCAAACTGCTGAATTATAATCATCCACCCACAAAATTATCACTAAATTGTAACACAAATTCATGGAAAGCAATCACTATTAAGCTTTCAAAGTCTAAAACATGAAGATGAGCCATCCAAAATTAAACATTTGATATCCTCAATTCATCCAAGCCACTCTTCCCACAAATTCTTCAATTTTAAACAAAAATTTGAATTTTTTTTAAAAAATATTACCTCTGTTAGAAGTTAAAGGATCATTCTACAATCTTCACTTGCTACTGAGCCTTGATTCTCCAAGATTCCACCATACAACGAAGAACGAAGAAGGGATAGTTTTCATGTGGCGAACGACGACGTTGAGAGCGATCTCCTCCTTTAAGATATCTAACAACCCCGCCCCGACCAACCCCCACCCCCCGGGTCCCAACAAAAAAAAAAAAGGCAAACAAATTCGTTGGTTTCTGATGTCATTATAGAATTAGAAAACAAAACGTCAGGAAAAAATCTTGGTAACCAATCACTACCTAGATAAATAGTGTCAAAAATTTGTTCTACTATTAGACCCGATTCTGAGAGTGATGAAGGGACCTACTTGGCTTTCAAGTTTTGAAGGATAGATTCTAATTTCGAAAAGGGCTTGTCGAGCCATAAGAAGTTGTCAATGATTGGGATAGTGGAGGGTCCCGGAGAGAGCTTCACTTTGGTATTGTTAGACGATGAGAAGGAATAGGAGGAGAGCATATGGAAGAGGGATTTAAGGATTGCAGAGATGTAGAGGGAGATGATGATTATGAACGAATAATTCTCCATTGTTTTTCCGCAACTAGTACCAGTTCAAGGTTTAAAATTAGAATTGAGGCATCTTTCTAGTAGTCTATTTTTTCAGTCTCGTAGTTGAGTGGAGGGGTGTGGAGACATGATCCTCTCACGTGTAGAGGCTTTTTCTCTCTCTTGGGAGGAGAGCTTCCTTCCCCTTGGTGGGAACTTCAATCTTTTGAAAATTTCAAACAACCAATGAACAAAACTCAAAAGTTTGAGCCTAAGCTAACTTCCAGATCCTAACATGTGTGCGAGTCTGGCTCTCAACACCAAGAATTCAACAAACAATTGGATGAGTCACCATTAAGAAGCAGCATTTAAGGAAGCCTGATAGTGAAGCTGGTCGGTGGGTGAGAGGTATTAAGGAGAGGAGAAAAAAAAGGCAAAAGGAAAAAAGACAAAAGTACATCGGCAGGCGCAATTCCTAAGCAGTTGGTGGGAAACTCCAATAACTCTATAAAAGGTAAGAAGTCTGGTTCAGGTAGTATAACTGTCTTTGCTCTTGTTTAGTTGTTTTTGTTTTTCTGTGCTTGGAATGTCAGTTTGGTGAGTTCACCTGGATTTGGCTACCTGCTCTTTTACCTCCATAAAGCTAGGGGATTAGCGTTTTTGTAGTGGTAAGTGTTTAGGATACCATCTATCTTTCTCTAGTAGCGCGATGGAAAAGGAGTTGGTAGAGGTGTTATAGAAATTTGCTCTCTCAGAGAAGGAAGTGGGGAGTACTCTCTTAGATCTGGGGGACTTAGATAAAGGGATAACAGAATGCCAAGGTAGCATCATAGGGAAAATAAGAGAGGAGAAAATAGTTAATTTCACAGGAGTTAAAAACTTTGTTATCATGGCTTGGAGTTACCCCAAAGGTCTTAAGGTGGCAGAATTAGGACCTGATATTTTCCAGTTTACTATCCTAGATTCTAAGCATAAGGAACGGATTATAGAGGGAGGTCCGTGGATTATAGACAATCAGATATTAGTGCTTAGGAAGTGGAAGGTGGGGATTGAAGAGGATGAAGATGTTTTTAGTTTAGCTCCTGTTTGGGTGCAAGTGTGGAATCTCCCCATTCACTGCCTATCTAAGGCAGTAGGGAAGAAAGTGGGAACCATATTTGATGAGGTTAAGGATGTGTTAATTCCTCAGACTGGAGGAAAGGAAGGGAAACATATGAAACTTTTAGTTCTGGTAGATATTAAGCAGCCTTTATTGAGAGGAACCACGGTTCAGATTAATGGAATGAATAAATGGTTGTCCTTTAAATATGAGAAGTGTCCTGACTTCTGCTATAGTTGTGGTGTCATGGGGCATAGTGAAAAGAATTGCAAGTCCCCTGTGTTGGTGCAAAAGGGGCAATATTAGAATCAGGTGTTTGGGGGAAGAAGCTCCCCTCAAAAAAAGATTAGTCAAAAGATTTGGACACCTCATAAACAGGTTTGGAAGGTGAGAAATGGGGAAATGATCAGAATAGAGGAGTTAGAGAGACAGGACAAAGGAGTTGAATTGCCTCAGGACAGGAATGTTAATAGGTCAGGTGGAGGCATGGTGCAAGAGCTACAAAAACAAATAGTGGAGAAGGATGGATTACCTACTGGAGATAGGGGGAAAATAGGTAGGATAATACCAAATTGGAGTGCTGGGAAGGAGATGGAGAAGGAGATAGGGAAGCAGGAAGGTAGGGACATGAGTACAGGAATGGAAGAAGTAAGATCTGAGGAGGCTAGATACACTGATTTACCTGATAATTTAGGCAATGAGGAGGACATGGAGGGCCAAGGAGTCCTAGGAAGAGAGATGATACAAGAGAATGGGAGGATCGAAGGAGGTGAAGAAGGAGTACAAGGCAAACCTAGTGTTGGTGGGGAGCTAGTGAGTATGGAAACTGATGAGACCACCAATAAAGAAAACCAAGAAGGATTCAGGAAAGAAGGGAAGAGGTTCAGGAGAGTGCAAACTAGTCCAAGAGAGCTAAGAACTCCTCTAAAGGAGATCAATGGGACAAAGAGGAAGTTCCAACTGAGAGATGAAGATATGGAAGAGGCTGTGGATCAAGAACACATAGATAAAAGGCATAGAGGAGATCAGAAGGAGGGGATAGCTTATGAGAGGATTGGAGGGGAAGGGATCAGCCCGCACTAGTCCCCAAAAGATCAATGAGAGCTATGGTGTGGAATTGTCAAGGTGCAGAGAGCCCCGTGACAATTCCCCACCTAAAGGAGGTTAACAACCTCCTCTCCCTGAACATGATTTTCCTGAGTGAGACTAAGAACAAGGCTAAGTACATAGAAAAGGTGAAAAGGATTCTGAACTTTGATAATTGCTATGTGATAGAGGCTATGAATAAGTCTGGAGGTATGAGTTTGATGTGGAATGAGGAAACAAAAGTTAAAGATATTAAACATTCAGCCTTTACCATTGAAGTGTTGATAGAGGATGAAGAAGTGAAACAGGATTGGTGGTTGATTGGTTTTTATGCCAGTTGTGATAAACAGATGAGAAAAGGGCAATGGGAGGTTATTAGCAGGAGGAAAGCTCTGTGGGGGGAAAACTGGTTAATTATGGGGGATTTTAATGATTTATTGATATGAGACGCGGAAGCTAACGTAGGATCTTAGAGGGCACGTTGACGATTTGATAGAGTTGAACCCAAACTTGGACCACTCAAGAGCGAATTCAACGATAGAGAACGCCACAATCAAGTGTGATCGCTTGATTGATAAGTCAATAAACAACCTAGGATCAACTCTAGGATATTCAAACTAGCTTTTAAAAGCTAAAGGAATTTGCCACAATTAATGGACGAAATTCTGGAATTTTATTGAATAATATCAAAAAACTGAATGTAACATCAAACTTAAGGCTATTTATAGCCTTGACTAAAACCTAATAAAGCTTGGGAAACATTAAAGAAATTCGGCCAGCCCATTTCTTTCTTTTGGCCGAAATCTAACCTAGTAGATAACTAACTAAGTGATCAACGAGCTAAGGCCCACTAATCCAACCCTTAGCTCAGCATGAGCTAATTAATTTAGACCTGATGTGGTGTTTAGGCTTGACCATACACGTCGTCAATTGCAAGCAACATCTTGGTGGGCTTGTAAGAGTCCTCCAAGTCAATTCCCTCAATGCTTGGGCTTGGTTCCTTCACAGGGTCTACTTGTACACCATAGTTAGCTTGCTTATTCGCATCATTCCCCTCCTCTTGAGAAAGATTTGTCATCAAATCTTGGGGGAAAAGTGGTACACCATGTTGGTGCGCTTATAAGATAGTGATGTTGGCAATAAATGAATGACTACGAGCCATGTTGCATGTCATTTTGTCAACTTCATGATGCTCTCAAACAAGGATATGCGCCAAGGTAGGAAAGATCTTATGTAAGGCTTGTGAAGATTCCAGGTTGCAATCCAAAGCTCTCTAATTAGCCGTCGAGCATGGATTGTCATCTTGTCACTGAAGCTCGAAAAATCCTGAATATGGTTGTGCAAAGTAGTATAATTCGACCCCAGTTGTTGCTGATTTGGCACTACTTGCCCATCTGGAGATAGAACAATGAACCAATTGTGTTGCACTTCTGTGAAAGTATGAACCAGTGAGGCACTTCTGTGGAAGCATGAACCAGTGAGGTAAGAACAACATTCGGGTCTTGATTGACACACTTGTGTCCATCACCCAACATAAGTGGCAGCAATGAAGTAAAGGCCACCTCATACGAGTCACATGAATTTGCGCTAGTTGGAGTTGATAAAATGAGCTCATGGTGACCAGCTTTTGGATGTATGAATATGCATGGAAGATCACAACAAGCAGCTGGCACAAACATGAAATCAGGTTGCAACTCTTTAGTCAAAGCTGGAAAATTTCAGATAGCCTTACAACCTACACAAACAAAATAAGTCTCAGCTTGTTTTGAACCAGAAATTGGATATATAAGCAAAGGAACATTATTAATCAAGTGGTAAGAAGGTGTAGAATAAGAGTTAAATGCCAAAACTCCCTCTGACACATTATTCCTTCCATCAATCGATTCAACTTGAGACTGCATTGATGGCTCTTTACATTTTCCTTCAAAATCTGCATAGGGCATACAAGTGTGAGGATAGAAATGATGCTCAAAAGAAGGTAAAGATGACGAATGAACCATTGGTAACAAACAAGAATAAAAATATGGAATTCTCCTTTCATGATGAGTTCGAATTAATTCTCCATTGGTGCGGACAGATTTGAGTTAAAACTGTTCCATGAAGTGATACCCAATAGATTTATCTCCTAGAAGACAAACTCCATGGGAGCTAGTGAATTGTACAAGTGACTTTGGAATGGAACATTGAATGACTAATTTCACTTGACTTCGCTTAACCTGTACAAAAGTAGAAACACTAAACAAGGCAAAGTTAAATTTGTTAGGAAAACTATAAACACTCGCCTTCCCATGCACAATCAGCTCATTTGAGGCTTCACTCACATCCTCATATTTTTTTACCTCATTTTCTAGCTCACATTCCTTAACTTTTACCTCAAGTACAATCTCACCACCACACTCAACTTGCTCTTTTTCAAGTTTTTGTTGGAGGAGCTGTTGATATGTCTCCTACACTCTACTAACTCCTTCATCTATGGATAATGGATTTCCATGCTTTGTTGTCGAATGAACCTCTTCCATTCTCCTTGAATATGCTGATTTTGAAGAGGTAAATTGGACGTTGGGATGCAATTGTGCAGAACCCCTCCTCTTGACATCCTTATCCACTATTCGGTCAAGGCGTCTTTGAAGAGGCTCGAAAGCTTCACCCAAAATCTACTTGAATTCTTCCATCATGCCGTCTAGTCGTAGTTGAAGGTCCATTATTGGGTCACCAACTCCACTAGACATGCTTGGGTAAACCTGCAAACAAAATAAACAAACGACATCCTCTCTCACTCTCTCTCTCTCTCTCTCTCTTTTATACAATATATAGGTCACTCACTCTCATGTTTAACTCAAGTGTATCACTCTCTAATAAGCTCACCAAGCAATTCCTTGGCTTGCTAGTGGATCGGGTTGAACAAACTAGGCATCACCGCAAGATTCGTTCTTGACTATTCAACAAGTGACACAAGATAGTAGCAATGATGGAGGTGAATGAGGACCTAGACGTGACCTTAAAATCAGGTTAGTACTAACGACTCAAAAAGAAAGCAAGACAAATGACTTCACGGCTGCAATTTTGGAAATCCTAGAAAACTCTACCCGGCATCCCAAAATTCTGGAATTTGTGGAGTTTGCTGGTCCTCGGCCTTTTGGTCAGGGTTTCGGAGGGCAAGGGTGTTTTTAGGGAGCTCAAATAATGTGTAAACCAGCCCTCAATTTCCAGCCAAATCGGATCACAATTTGCTGCTCTACCGACTTGAGAAACCCAAGGAGTCAAGGCGGTTTAGGTTGGTTTTGAAAACTGTTTTGGGTGCTTTTGGGGCTGGTGTGGTTTTCTTGGCTGCCTCTAATCCCAAAAGAACTAGGATTAGTTATAGCTCAAGGTTGGGACTTGGTCCTCAATTAGGAAACTAGAACCGTGCCTCCCTTTTTTTTTCTTTTTCTTTCGTTTCTTCTTTCTCTTGTTTCTTCTTTTTTTTTGGCCCAATAGGTTCTTTCAAGAACATAATTCCAGTCCCAAGGATTTCCTTGAATTCGGATCCAACTCCAAGATTTGCCAAGACAAGATTGAAAATTGTTTCAAGTATGAAAAAAAACCCCCTTGATTATGTAATCAAGAATTACCAAATTAGATTTAGTCGATCCAAGAACTTCAAGATTTTTGATCAAGAAGCTCAAGAACTTCCCGAGTTATGTTTTGGTATCCAAGATTTGCAAGAAACAACACAAAAGTTCAAAAGAGTAAATCATAACAGGTTCGGCAGCCACACAATAAACAAATTCCAGCAACGGTTCGAAACAACAATAAGGTACGCAACACCCTTTTTGTTTATTTTTCTTGACTTTTCCTGGGTTGTTTGACATCCCCAAACGACACAAAACTCCAACCAAATTAGACCACAATCAAGACAAACTAATAGCAACAACAAGGGAAAGCAAATCTAGACAGATTACTAGACACGATCAAACCAACGCAATATGTCACAAGAATAGCAAGAACCTCGAGTTGCCGCAACGAGATTTTTGTTTTCTTTTCTGGACAAGATACGGATGACCAACAACAAGACACAATGTATGATGACAAATCTAGATAGAAACTATAGACGATTAACAACTGAGATTTGCGAGACAGATTGCACACAAAACAAGATTACTTGATGCGACAATAAGGGAACAAACCTAGTTGTCGTGAGAAATTTTTTTTTTTTGTTTTTCTTGTTGGACAAACACAAAAACCCAACACCAAACACAACAACGTGGATGTAAACCACCAAGAATGAAGGCTGGAGAGTTCGGACAGCAACAAAACAACACAAGACAGATTGCAAACACGCAAGACAGATTCGGACTTGACAAGAAGGAAACCAACGACTCAAGACACAAACCCTAATACGTAGCTACGAATATGGAAGATAAAGAACAGACTCGAAGACAATAAAAAGGGTATACGTGATACCTCTAATTAGCTCTGATGACCAGATGATACGAGACGTGGAAGCTAACGTAGGATCTTAGAGGGCACGTTGACGATTTGATGGAGTTGAACCCAAACTTGGACCACTCAAGAACAAATTCAACGATAGAGGACGCTACAATCAAGTGTGATCGCTTGATTTATAAGTCAATAAACAACCTAGGATCAACTCTAGGATGTTTAAACTAGCTTTCACAAGCTAAAGGAATTTGCCACAATTAATGGACGAAATTCTGGAATTTTATTGAATAATATCGAAAAACTGAATGAAACATCAAACTTAAGGCTATTTATAGCCTTGACTAAAACCTAATAAAGCTTGGAAAACATTAAAGAAATTCGGCCAGCCTATTTCTTTCTCTTGACCGAAATCTAACCTAGTAGATAACTAACTAACTAAGTGATCAACGGGTTAAGGCCCACTAATCCAACCCTTAGCTCAGCATGAGCTAATTAATCTAGACCTGATGTGGTGTTTAGGCTTGACCATGCACGTCGTCAATTGCAAGCAACATCTTGGTGGGCTTGTAAGAGTCCTCCAAGTCAATTCCCTCAATGCTTGGGCTTGGTTCCTTCACAGGGCCTACTTGTACATCATAGTTAGCTTGTTTATTCGCATCATTTATATTCAAATGAGGAGAAGTGGGATGGCAGAACTAGAGAGGAATGCAGCTTCTATGATTTCAGACATTTCATTCAGGAGAACCAACTAGTTGATATTGGGTTCAAAGGAAACCCCTGGACCTGGTGTAATCAGTGGCAAGATGGTGAAATAAGACAAAGACTAGATAGCGAGCTTAGCAGTGGAGGATGGAGTAACATTTTTGAGCATCCTAAGTGCACTCATTTAGAAAGCTTAGCCTCTGACCATAGCATGCTGATACTGGACACAATTTCAGGGAAAAGAAAAAAAAGAAAGAAATTCTTCTTTGACAAAAGATGGATTCAGAGAGAAGGAATTGGAGAAGTGATAAAAAAGGCATGGGAGGAGGATATCAGGGGTTCTAGAATGTTTAGGGTAGTACATAAGATTAAGAGATGTAGAGTTACTTTGTTGAAGTGGAGAAATGGATTTATTGAAAACTCTAGGAAGAGGATCTCGAACTTGAAACAGCAGCTGATGGAGGAGAAAAGTTCAGATATTGAAGGAAGGAAAGGAAGAGTTGCAGCTCTGAAAAATCAGTTGGTGGGAGCTTACAGAGAGGAGGAACAATATTGGAGTCAGAAAGCTAGGATAAACTGGTTACAAGAAGGAGATAAGAATACTCATTACTTCCATGCAGTGGTGAAGGGGAGAAGAAAAAGAAACAAGATAAGAAATTTGTAGAGAGAGGATAGATCTTGGATTACTGATGACAAGGAGATTGCTGAAGAGATAGCTAGATATTATAAGCAACTCTTTAAGTCAACTAGGACAGATTGTATAGAGGAGGTTCTGGATGGTATTCAAAAAACAATTACTGACCAGATTAATTTTAATCTAACTAGGCCTGTGGAGGAAAATGAGATAAAGGTAGCAGTCTTTGCCATGAATCCTAATAAGGCACCAGGACTTGATGGGATGACACCCTTCTTCTTTCAAAAATTCTGGCCTACCATTAAGGAAGAGGTGGTGAAAGCAGTCAAAGCTTTCTTTCAGTCTGGACATTTGCTCAAATCTCTGAACCATACCATTATCTCTCTCATTCCTAAGGTGGAAATACCCACTAATTTGAAACAATATAGGCCAATCAGCCTCTGCAATGTACTCTATAAAGTAATCTCCAAAATCCTAGCAAATAGATTGAAACCTGTCCTAGAACACTGCATTAGCAAAAACCAATCAGCCTTCGTTCCAAATAGATAGATTCTGGATAATATAATCATTTCCCATGAATGCCTTCATTTTCTTAAAAACAAGAGACAAGGTAAGGATGGTTATACTGCAATCAAACTGGACATGTCTAAAACTTATGATAGAGTTGAATAGGATTATCTGAAAGCTGTGATGGAAAAAATGGGGTTTAATCAGGTATGGGTAGATTGGATAATGGAGCGCATTAGTTCTGTCTCCTACTCCTTCAATATAAATGGAGAGACCAAGGAATATGTGATTCCTTCTAGAGGCATCAGGCAAGGTGACCCTCTATCACCTTAGCTGTTCTTATTGTGTTCTAAAGGCCTCTCTAATTTACTAAGGAATGCAGCAAGACAGGGATTACTAAGTGGATTAAGGATCAGCAAACATGGACCAACAATAACACACTTATTCTTTGCTGATGACACATTGATTTTCTGTAAAGCTGTAGGGGTAGAAGCAAGGGAATTAAAAGAAATTCTGAATCACTATGAAAGAGGGTCTAGCCAGGTGATTAATTTGGACAAATCCTCTATCTGCTTTAGTAAGAACACCAAGGAAAGGGACACGGAGGAAACTTGGGAGCCACTACCAGGTGTAAGGACAGTGAACCAAGGCAAATATCTGGGCCTTCCAATGGTGATCACAAGAACAAAATGACAAGTATTTGCCTACATAAAAGACAGCATTAAGGCCAGACTTAACAGTTGGAAGAATAAGTTCCTAAGTGCAGCAGGGGGAAGGAGGTGATGTTAAAAGCAGTGACTATGGCCATGCCAAATTATGCTATGTCTTGCTTTAAGTTACCTGTTACTCTATGCAAGGAAATCTCAGGGACAATGGTCAAATACTGGTGGGGTGAATCAGAAGGGAGGAGCAAAATACGTTGGTGTTCATGGGACAAAATGATAAAGGCAAAACTGGAGAGAGGATTGGAATTCAGGAACTTAGTATATTTCAACAAGGCATTGTTGGGAAAGCAGATTTGGAGGATGATCAGATACCCAAACCTTTTGGTTAGCAGAATACTAAAGGCTAATTACTATCCCGATTCCATTTTGAATTGTGAGATCTCCAAAAACTCATCCTGGTTCTAGCAAAGTATTATATTAGCAAGAGAGGCAGTTAGGGGGGCATTCTGAAGAGAGTTGGATCAGGGAAGAGTATAAGAATTTGGAAAGATCAATGGATTCCAAACAATCTCAATGGAAGGCCAACTACAAGGATGCCAGACAGTGGGGAGAAGCAAAAAGTGGAAGATCTGATTTCAAATTTCAGATGGAATAGGAATGAGATTTGCAGGAGGTTCAATAGGGAGGATGCTGAGAACATTATGAGGATACCTATTAGTCTGTCAAGGTCTGGGGACATGCACTTTTGGATACATAGCAAACATGGGGAGTACTCAGTTAAATCCTATTATCAGGTTCTGCTTAAGGAAGAGAGGAGTAAGGGAAGTGAAGCAAAAGGAGATTTGGGATCGAGTTATGATGACTCCAATACACAAATTTGGAAAACTCTCTGGGGACTGAACATTAAGTATAAGATCAAGCTATTCATATGCAGGTGCATTACTAACACCTTAATAGCTAGGAAAACAATTTTCAGGAGAACAAAACAAGGATCACCTTTTTGCTCAAGGTGTGGAGATAATATGGAAACTGTGGAACACATTCTATTCCACTGCCAACAGGCTCAAAATGTATGGAAGTTCGCACCAGTTCAATGGGATGGAATCCAGAATCAAACAGGTTGCTTCAAGAAGTGGTGGGCAGTATTAGTTCAAGCCACAAGTAGGAATGAAGGAAGGCAGCATAGTGCTTTGACTGCTAACATACTTTGGCAGGTATGGAAAGACAGGAATGAAATGGAGTTTGAAGGGAAGGAAAGAGATGGTCTGAAGATTGTACAAAAAGCCAGTACAGAATGGATGGAGTATGAGGAAGTTGGGAAAGGAAAGGATGAAAAAAGTACATCAGAAACAGATGAAGCAAATGAAAAAGCAAGGGAAGGAGGAAGGGAGGAGGGAGAGCTGATGGAACTCCAGATTGCAACCAAGAAAGCAGCAGTGGGCCATAAATTAGGAATTGGCATCGTTGCCAAGCAGTCTGGAGGGAGGATCAGAGCTGAATGGATTTTAGTGGATAGAAGCTCGCATAGGGATATTCAAGATGAAGCCGTAGTAGTAAGGTTGGCACTAATGAAGGCAAGACAAAAAAGTTGGCAAAGAATCAAAGTCATTAATGCTAACAAGCAACTTATTGCCTTGCTAAAAATTGGGAAAGGTGACAATCCAAACACTGCTACGTTGATTGAAGATATACATGCTTTAGCTAATCTATTTCAAATGTGCTCTTTTGAAGTTAGGAATGTTAGTAATATCTCTATATGTAATCAAATTAGCCATTATGCTCTAAGCATACTCATGGATGAGGAGAAATTTTTTGGCTCTCCTTAAGTGTCATGGTACACTTTGTAAAGTTGCTTGACTTGTTGCTCAAATATTGTACAGGTCAAGTATTTATAAAATATCATCTATCGTTTTCGGGAAAAAAATAGTTAAGTGGAGGACAAGACAAATGGAAACATACACCAACAGGAAATTGTAGCTTCCAGTCTAATGACTATACTCAATTCTCCTGCCTCGAGAACATAATTATGCCTAGAGAACATGGCAGTAAGTGGACTCGAGTTTCCCAACAGCTATAACATGACCAACATAACAATGCAACAAGCTCAAAACAGAATTTCACCTGCTAAAACTACCATACCTCAGTCCTCATATTTACTTCTATGATGAGTTTGGCCCCCTTTTCTTTCCAAAGCCAACAATGGCAGTGATTGAGCAGCAGTTGTATTGCATACGCTTGTAGACACGGCCACGGGGCTTCTTCTTATCTTGCTTTGCGACCTAAGGAGTTTGCCATCTCACCTTATCTACACAAGCTAATGAACTGCAAACCTTACCGATGATTAGCTATGGAGTTTAAACTGCTGAGAAATCTACATGGAGTGGGTGAGACTACAAAGAGTGAAAAGAGAAAGGACTGTTTCGTTACTTCTTAGAATAGATGAATTGGTCTCCAGTTTGTTCCGCCTTCCCGACCGGCGAATCATTAAGATTCATTTTAATAAAATATTTTGGATTCACAGTTTCTATCGTTCCCATCACTTCTTACTTTAATATTTAGGTCCAAATTTTACAACAGAGCTTAGTAATGAAATTTGTTCTTGAGTCAATTTTCTCAGTCTTTATTGTCTCGAACCTCTTTATTTTTTTGTTTTGTTCTATAATGTTCTACTATAAAATATTCTATAAGAAGAGTCATTTAATTATGGATGAATCAGTATTGATGCTTTATTACACTGCCTTTTATGAGATCACTCATAGACCTTACATATTGGAATTCTATATCATAGATATTTTTTCTCTTTCTCTCATCCTTCCATTTATCCACAGTTTTCTTCTCTATTTTGCTTTCCAACTTAAAATCATATTTATTTTTCCAAGAACATAAAATAAATTTCAATTGTTGCAAGGATGTGATATATCGGTCACATCTTGACTGGTTCTTTAGCTTTAGATCGAGATAATGCGAAATGATGGGTTAGTTATTGGGCGGCCAATTTTTTGAATTCTAACCCTAAAAAAATCAACGAGTCACACACTAAGAATAGCAATTTTCTCAAATGATTAATCGAATAAATGTTTGGGAGTAAAGTTAGAATTAGCGTATGCCTTAGAGGAATAAATTATAATTTAACCTTATCTACAATTAGGCATGCGCATATATCAAAATCATGTATTTTTAAAATGACCGGAGTAAAACTTTGAAGTTATGTTTTCCATTTATTAAAAAAATTTGGTCTTGTTCTCAACTAATATTGGAAGCATGATTTTAGCTTGTGATTCTTAAAATGCTATATTATTGTGTATTGCAACTACTTTTTCTATTCTGATTTTAGATTTTTAAGTTAAAAAAGATAAAAAATAAAAATCTAGGATTTTTCCTAGTTTTGAGTTCTAATTGTGGATTATTCTTTTATGCTGACAAATGCCCTCAAGTTTTTAAGATAATTATTAACAAATCTAAAGGCACCCTATTTTTCTATTTCAATTTGTTATATATATATATATATATATATATATGTCTCTTTTCCTCTTTTTTTTTTTTTGTTTTGCTCTCACTCCATCTTGAGGCATGTTTAGTTTATGTTCCTTTCCATCTATGTCCTTGGGTGAAGAATTTAAGTACATCAAGAAACAATTTAATTAGAATAAAATTTCATTATGCGCCACATAAGGCAATCTAGTCATTAGATGGTCAAAATTAGAAGCAGTATTGAACTAGAAGTATTATAGATACACTAAATAGACTTTCAAGTTACTTTAAATACCTAAAACTTCTTTGATTTTTTTTAAAATTTTTTCTTTTTTTGTTGTAAGTGAAATGTTTTGAATTCAAAATCTCTTACTGAGAGTCCTTCATAACTTACCATCCAACTCAATTCTTCCCCAATTTCAGTGACTCCTTATTAATCTTGAGAGAAACAACTTATCAATAACCATTTTGTAGAGAATCATGGTATGCTGAATGCATGTACTCCTAGATAAGACTACTACAAACGGTAAACAGTCACCAACACAGTAAAAAGAAATTACCTTTTTCTTGAATTTATAAAAAAAATTAAATTGTGTAAGAAACAAGTAACTTTTTTTTTTTTGTCGATACGATAGCTTCTTACACTATGGGAGGAGGGGGAGGACCTGAAGAGGTCCAAGGGTAATACGAAGGGGACTGAACCACCACCGAACGGGTCCAAGGGTAACACGAAGGGGACTGAACCACCACCGAACGAGACGGGGGTACTATGCACCCACCTGGATTTTTTTAAGCAAGGCCACATTTAAATGTGGCATATTGGTGGGAGGTAAGGTTTGAACCTTGCCTCCTACCTCACCAAATTTTAATGCATTGGTAGTGCCCACCAACCTAAAGAATGGTGGTTTTAGCAACAAGTAACAATCTAGAAAAATAGGTAACTATTAAATATTTATCAATCTATACATTTTTATTTGCATTAGATACCCTACAAGTCTTGTCTGTTAGGATTGTAAGATTTTTGAGTTTTTGTAGAAAATATACTGTAACAGATATATATAAGATAAATAAGTGATTGAAAAATGTATTAAGAGAATTTTTCTATGAAAAATCGCAATCTAAACACAAGATCAAAGAAAATGCGAAACTCATTTCTATAAAATAATTTTTGATAGTAATCATAATTTTTACTCCTCCGTCCCATTATTAATGTCATATTTTTACTTTTTTATTGTCTCAAAATAAAAGTCTTATTATAAAAGTCAAATAACTTTCAATACTACTTTTCCTTTATACCCTTAGCAATAATAACAAAAATTTATAATTAATAATAAATAATTACATATGACCCACCATAATACATGCACACTTTCACAAGTCATGTGACCTTTTGTTTTTAGCTGGCCATTTTCGTGTGTCAAACAATGGTAAAGATTGGAAGAATGTGAAAAATACGGCCCACCATTTGACTGTGCATCATAAATGCTACTCCGGAAAAACGCCCCAATTTTTTGGGTGGAGGGGTACCATTTATATAAACATATGCGGTCTTTAATCACTAGTAACTTACTCGACGGATGTGGCTTAAATTTAGCACCTACCAACTTTGACCGCTAGACTGTACATTTAACAAGCTAATCCGGAGACTTTCATTATATACTGGTCCAGATGTTGTCATGCAACTGATTTGTCATCGTCAGTATAAAATCATATCGAGGAATCGTACTAATCCGAAGACTTTCATTGTGAACTTGTCCAGATGTTGTCCTTTTTGACGAGGGGAAACGTTTAAATGCCGTGCTGGTTAGGCGATTAGGTGCAAGAAATCCAAATTGTGGTTTCCATTCATAGGACCACAATAAGTTTCAGATTCATATGTTTTGCCTCTTTTGTATTTATATCAGGAAATTAGTCATGTTTCGAAAGTCATTTTCTTCCAAAAAATTTTTAAATTTTTTATAAATATATTTTTTAATCACATTTTTACCTTACAT